AAAAAAGCTGGCCTGCGAATGAATTAAAGCTTTTTACGCTTCAATGCGTAGTAAATGGTTGCCAATGAATAGTTAGCTGTTAGTCTTTAGTGTTACTGTTATAAAATTAAGACATGTTGCCATTAGCTTAGGAAATAATTGGCGCAATGCACAGATCTAATACATTTTGAGATGTTATTATTAGTCTTCAAGCTTTCTTTTGACATCAACTGGTTTCACGGCTCTCCTTTCAGCCCACCCCCAGCGTATTCAACCTGCACCCAGGCTCACCGTGTGACCCCAGTCCTGTCCTGGTGCAGAGACCACGCAGAACGACTCCAAAAGGATTATAGGGCCCTGAGCACATCTCATTATATATAACCCCCTTCTCATCCAATATTTTATATAAAAAATTAAAACAGTAAAATCAACCTTTAACTTGAGAAAACTTGTAAGTGGCGACATATCCGGGTTAAAGCAAATGAACACAGAAGACTTTAAGAAGCCGATATGTGGCTTAAGACATGTGGATAAAAGGTCCTGGTAGCCGGGTCTTATCTTGCCTTTGCGGCCAGGGTGGAGGTGTTAAGTGAATAATGAAATTACTTATGTTTATTATGGGTCATTTCTATCTGAATACGAGCTACTGGCTTTACCAATCCCTTTGCTCTTACTTTGCTCTACCTACGTTGTTCATATAGCTGGAAAACTAGTTATACAGCATTTTATTTTTGGCCAGCTATCGAAGTTTTGAGCATACTTGCTTCTGAAATACACAATAGCAACTAAGGTTATTCAAAGCAATTTATAATAGTATAAACATGTGCTTAATGCTTCAGTGTATTTTAAAAATTACATTTAAAAAACCAATTCCAAGTGTTTCTTCTATTAAATAATATAAAGGGGTGATTATATTAGTCATAATGTTTAACTACACAACAAATCTAAGAACTGGCAAATCTCATATCTGTCAAAAGCTCCATTGGGAGTTTTTTTAAAAGAGTAACTTTTAGAAGTTGGATTAAATTTGATAATTTTTTATCAAAATGTGAAA